ATAGCATGGCTTACTGCGTCCCGAGAAACTGGATGGCCCTAGTTGACACCTCCGGCCCACTGAAATCGGATTCGCATCCTGCCAACAAGAAAACACCGCCAAGGCAGAGTGCGCAGTGTTGCATCGGGGGTGTGTGGAGCACGTCGACGTCGGGCACAGGCTTGGGAGATTTATCTGATGATCAGACAAGACAAGATTGATTAAAAGCCGCCGTCGCGACGTCCTCCATATGTGATATTGTCGATCGGATTACCCTCTCTTTTCTCTCTTTGGACTTTTTGACAGCCGACGGCGATCGCGAACTGTCGACATGGCCTCCGAGAAACCCGCCGATCGTCCGGTCCCCGCAGCCGAGGACGCTGACGTCGCCACCCCGGTACGCTTCGACTCCGATGCCGACGAGAAGCGCATTGCGGACGTCAGCAGCAGCCCCTCCGAAGATCCTGTCGAGACCAGGGACTTTCCCTGGACTTGGAAGCTGACCGCCCTCATATGCGGTGTTGCGCTGTCCTGGGGCTCGTCGTTCTCTGAGAATACTCTCGGACCCCTCAAGAGCACATTGATCAAGCAGCTTGACATCAACAACTCACAGGTCAGTCGTCATGCAGTCGTGGATATTCTTCTGAACAATTTTATGTGCGACATTTAACACATTGTAGTATGGTGCCATCTCTTCGGCCACGTCACTTGTGAACACGATTCTTCCGATTCTCGGCGGATACGGGCTGGATCATTATGGCGTCGAATGGTCAGTTATTAGGCCGAAGAACCTCACAATTCGAAAAGATACTGATGCCCTGTTTTGTTCAGGGGTTCGTTGGCTTGTTCGGTCGCAATCTTCATCGGCGCTGTCGTGTCAGCGGCTGGTTCCAATAACGATTCATTCACCCTGGTTGTGACGGGCCGAGTGATTATGGGCTTCGGAAGTACTGTCATTGAGACTTGCACTTCAAAGGTGAGTTGACTCAAGGATCGGACTGCTTTGTCTGGCAAATTTCTCACAGCCGCACCAAAGATTTTGGCCCATTGGTTCCAACACAAAGGACTTGGACTTGTGTATGGTTTGGACCTGTCCATCGGTAAGTAGTCCGAATGTTTCTGTTATATTCAAAGTGAATCAACTGTTGACGGCCTCTGTTGCAGGAAAGCTCATCGTTCTCATCGCCAAGGCCACCGCGGTTCCCATGCGAGATGCGTCATCATTCTGGGGGTGGGCCCTGTGGATTCCCGCCATCGTCTGTTTCGCCAACCTCATTCAAAACATCTTCTACGTCTGGTGGGCCCGAAGCCGGCCCGAGTGGACTCAAATGCCCACCGGCCAAAAGCTCGCCATCGAGATCAGATCCCGCGAGCGCGCACAGCGCGAGCAGAACAACGAGGTTGCAGCTTTCAGGACTAGAGCAACAGCCCGTACCTTGGGTGCCCTCCCTAATTGGGGAGCTCTCCTTCGTGTTCCTCGCTTCTTCTGGTTGGTTGCTTGCACCCAAATTCTGCAAGCTGGTGTTGTTGGTGGCTTCAATGGCCTTAACGCCGACATCATCACCCAAACTCGAGGCTCCACTGCTCAGCTTGCCGGTTACACCTCCGCCGTCCAGCAGGTGATCCCTGTTGTGTGTGCACCTCTAATCGGGTCTTTCTTCGACTATGTTGGCTATCGTATGATGTTTGTTAGTCTCACGTCGGCCATCTGGATTTTGGTATACTGCCTTATCGGGTACACTCAGACTAACGCACTTGGATCGATGGTCATTGCTTCTGTGGCATCAACAATGAACGCCCTGCCCTTCTTGGCATCCATCCCACTAATCGTGCCGAACCAACTCGAGCTTGGGCTTGTATTTGGTATTTGGAAGGTTTTCAATAACAGTGGAAGTGTCATAGTTGACATGATTGCTGGCAGGCTGCAAGACATTACGCCTGGAGGAACATACGAGCGCGTCATTGCCTTCTTTGTTGCCGTGAAGGGCCTGGAGTTTTGCCTTGGGCTGTTCTATGGAATCCTTGACCGCAGATACCTGGCGGGCATTCTTAGCATCAGCAATAAGAAGCGCATGGATATCGAAAAGGAGGGAAAACTGGGAGACCTCGTCGGCAGAAGGCCTGCCAGGTCGTTCACGGCCGTGGGGATTGCCCTAATCTGCTCTCTGATCATCATAGCCTGGGTTTTGTTCATCAAGTACTCCATTTGAACGTTAGTCGATATAAAGATACTTTTTGCATTTTGACATGAGAAGTGCATTTATCAGCCAGAACATGTGCATGCACTGACTTTTGGTTTTGTGATTGGTTATGGTGCAACATCAGTCGGGATTAAGCCGATGTCAGTCTACGTTGTTAGTAACCGAGTCATGCCCAGAACACTTCTCCAGGCTTCCGTAAACGGCAGTCAGTCCTGGAAGGGCTTCCAAGTGCTTTGATATAACATGATTTTTCTTCATCCATGGTTGAATGAGCAAACCATTCCTCCTCGGCCAAAGAACATGGGTTCAATCACCGAAGCGCCTAAGGTCGTCCCTGCTGGGGCATGGGACACACACCACCACATTTTTGAGCCAGCGCGCTTGCCTTTCGCCTCTGGAAGGCACTTCACGCCCTCAGTTGCAACTCTGGAGCAGCTCAAGACTTTCGAAGATTCCATCGGCGTCTCACACGTGTGCATCGCACATGGCTTGTCATACGGTGCCGACTGCTCCTCACTACTCTACTACCTGGAGCAATTCAATGGGACGGCACGCGGTATCTGCGTCCTTGACCTCGACACAGTGACAGACGAGCGGCTGGACAAGTGTCACGGAGCCGGCATTCGAAGCGTCAGGTTGGACTTCTTCAAGGCCCAGGCGATGAACGACGTCGACAAGCAAGTCAACCTCATCAAGTCCACCGCCAACAGGCTTCTTCAATGGCACCCGACTGCCAACAGCTGGAGCATTCAAATTCAGCAGCCAAACGTCTCTTACTGGGCTAAGCTAGGACCGGTTATTCAACAGTCAAAGCTGCCTGTGGTTCTGGACCATATCGGCCGTGTCAAAGCTTCCAGCATGGCACCGATTGGGTCTGTGCCTGTCAGGGAGGAAACAGGATGGCAAGATCTACTGAACACGCTGAGAGGAGGAAACCTATGGATCAAGATCTAGGCACCCTATCGATGCTCTCGAGCTGATCCGCATTTCGAAGACCTCAAGGACATTGTGCAGGAGCTTGTCAGGACAAACTCCAAGAGACTGGTCTGGGGTAGTGACTGGTCTCATACTCAACGACACGAATACAGGCATCTGAGGAGCCAGGATGAGCAAGAGCCTTTCCTGAAGATCGACAACCCAGCGTGGATTCGGTCGTTGAGCACATGGTTGAATAGGGAGGAGTGGCAGGACCTGTGGGTTAGTAACCCTTCAACTCTGTATGATTATCCAGCCAAATCGTGAAGTGAACAGTCAAAATCTGTCGCATCGTAGCATCACAGAACTTGAACATCAATTAGAGAGAGCTTTCGCGCAACGATGACTCCATGGATTGGCAGGGTTACTTGATACATGACGACGCACGTCGTCAAAATGACATCTCGTCTCAACTCACCACTTTTAAGATGCAATTGAGTAAATTTTCATTATTCTAGATAAATGTGAGCACCTTGAGTTTGGCCCGATCAGTTCAATCACACGATCGCGTCGCGAAGGTCACTTACAAGCCGGGGTCAAGCCGAGTCGGTCCCAGTAGGTTCGTCATGTCCATCCCACGCCGTGGATGGCTTTCGGATAAGTCATATGAACAACCATCTCAGATGAGTAAAAACTGCAACACTCACATCTTCGAATTGATTCAGAGGACAGTCGAAAATATGACATCTTTCCCTCAGAATAACAGGACGTACCAGATCCTTGAGGCGGCTAGGACAGGGGGCTACGCTGTCGGCGCGTGCAACTGGTGAGAGCTGCATTCTTTGTAGGCCTTCCATAAAGCTGACTTGGAAATAGTTATAATGATGACAGTGTTATTGCCGTCATTCGAGCAGCTGAGGCGTGCAAGTCGCCTGCTATTATCCAAGTCTTCCCATGGACGATGCGATTCCTCGCTCCGTCTTTCGGAAACATCCACGGAAATTACGGTCCTGGTGGTCCGGAGAAATATTGAAGATTGCCTCTGTAAGTATTCCAGCGGCTATAACGGAGTCCTGATTCTGACTGCTATTTTGTTGCAGGCTCAACGACATTCACAATGCCATCCCCGACATTCCCCTCGTCTTGCATGGAACCCACGGTGTGTCTGACGAGCAATTCAGGACCGCCAGAAAGCATGGTATGGTCAAAATCAACCTGAACAGAACGGTCCGCGACGAGTAAACAGACTTTGTCGCAGAGAATGCGGGCAAGCTGGAGCTTGCCGTTCTGAAAATGAAGGGCGCGGAAGTTTATGCCAAGTCTATTGAGCGGGTGATGAGGGATGTGCTGTACTCAGCTGGCAAAGCATAAGGCATGCCGGTGTATAGAGATTCTAATTCACGTACATGTTACCAACACGAATGAAGCACATGTCTCTGCATTTGGAACCAAGTTCTCAGCTCGTGCTATGAGGACTTCAACCGATCGCAGATTTACAAAGCTGATGCAGCCCACTAGGTCGTGTCAATCGTTATCTACCAATGTCGAAATTCATGCCGCAATTGAGCTATCCATTGTAAATTTCTTGATTCCTCCATGCGAATAACCACGATTGCTCCAGAATTCTGTTATGACTTTCGACCTGTGGTATCGGCCCAATCCCGAAAGTGTGACTGCAGAAAGCCGGCTTTTCCCCGAAACAAAACAAACTGCCCCGCAATGCCGGCTTGGATTAGAACCCCGCGTGGGACCTATCCGACAATCGGAACAATATGACAATAGAAACGTCATTTCAGGTCGATTGAACTTTGATTAAAACCCTACTAAGAGAGCTCTCGAAGCCAAAAGTGACTGCATGCTGTCGTTCACGTTCGAATTCAATTGCAGAATTTGCTTACTTTCAAAATGACGTCAACATCCGACATCGTGAAGCGCCTCTCCAAATAGTCAAGCTGTGATGTGAGGAGACCGACTTCTGGCCAAGATTCCATACCACAAGACTCTCATTACTGAGTATACTAGATCTCGGATGGCCTCTCCAAGCTTGGCCGTGCTGACGGAGGCTTCCTAGAGGGACTCGTGCTTTACTCGCCAGAGTACCAAGCTGGGAAGACCAAGATTGTCGGACCCGTCTTTACTGTCAAGTTTGCTCCCAAGAGCGACTCATCTGCGCCGAAGGTCAAGGACAACTACGTGAGTTTAGCTTCCTGAGGCAAGTTTTACAGATTGAACGTGGTACGCTAATCACGATTCCTTCTCGCAGATCGACCAAATCCCCAAGGATTCTGTTGTCTTCATCTCACAGCCGGCTCCGCATGTGAATGCCTGTTATGGCGGTCTCATGTCGTTGAGAGCCCAGATCCTCGGGGCCAAGGGGGTCGTAATTGACGGACATCTTCGCGACCTCTAAGAGCACAGAAATCTCGGATTTCCGGTAAGAGCCATTGGACATGCGACCAATGCTTATGCATCCCTGGCTGACGAACATCATTCCAGCTGTTTGCGAGAGGCACTGGCACTACGGCCGGTGGCGCTGTATGTTTCCCATCTGAAATCAACGTCGATGTGAAGCTTCAGTCTGCCAAGCAGGATGCCACAATTAGCCCGGGAGGATACATCATTGCCGACCTTGATGGCGTCGTGTTCTTGCCCGGCGATCTGGCCGAGCAGGTCCTTGAGAGGATCCCTGAGCTTGCTGCTGCAGACGACAGGTGTGCTGAGGCTATCCGTGGTGGCATGTCTGTACAGGAGGCGTTCGCGACCTTCAGGGGTAAGTAGAGCGATGTCACGGGCTAGAGCCCGGCCGAGATCTCCGGCTTTGCCGGGGCAGTTACCGAGATCCGGCTCCGCCGGATCCACTATTCTACCGTGGCACACCGCCTAGCCCGACCACGTATCTCCGTAGCTAGGCGCCCACTCTTGTAAAGTCCTTCTCCTCTTCAGCTTAGAATAGTCAATCGACGGCACCTCTACGTTGAACAAGCCTAGGGGCCAGCCCCTTACAAGCGACAATAATTCGGCAATAAAGATCAATGTGTAAAGAAAGTATTTTAAAAATCATTAAGTGAAATGGAAGGGAGATAGACGCAGTCATCGCCGTCACCGTTGGAGGTTTGCCACAAATGCCCCCTCGATCGTCAAAATTGGCAATCGTAAACACGATGACCTTGGCTGAGAAAATTCAACAGTCCTTCAGAAGGATAAAGTAGACCTGCGAAAGAAGAATGACAATAGCGCATCTTATTCTCATACACTAGACGCGTGCTCTGTGGACTGCTTTCACGAATTTCATTCAAAGTCTACTTATGTACATAACGTCATTCCATCTTTTGGTGATTTTATCCACGCCAAGTTCAAGCCAGCGGTGTCGTAGACAGCTGAAGCCCTGGTACAACATACTTGGATGCCAAGTCCTCAAACATCTTCTTCTCAGCATCAGCAAACGGCAGGCCCTGCACCTTGCGCTCCTCAGCCAGGCGGTATTCAGGCTCGCCAGGGAAGAGGACCTCCTTGAAGCCATCGGCGGGCGTAACACCATGCACGCGCTGAACGAGAGTGTCCATCCTGGCGCGGAACTGCTCGGAGGACATGAAAATGTCAGGCTTGATGGCGATGAAGCAGTGTCCGACGTTCTGAGGGCGAGCCTCCTTGTATTGGTCACCAACCTCACCACCAAAAGCGGCACCGGACAGAACTCCGGACATGATGTCCATCAGAATGGCAATTCCCGATCCCTTGGGGCCACCAATAGGAGCCATGGAGCCGTTCAATGCCTCGTTCGCGTCCTCGGTGGGCTTTCCGTCCTTGTCATACGCCCATCCAAGGGGAATCTTCTCGCCTCTGCGGGCGGCCTTGCGGATCTTGCCCTTTGCGACAACGGATGGCGCCATGTCGAGGGTGAAGGGAACTTCGTTCTTACTGGGAGCTCCCGCGGCAAAAGGAGAGATACCGAGCAGGGTCTCCTTGCCACCAAACGGAGGCATCTGCTTGGCCGAGTTTGTGAAGACAAGAGAGATCATGCCAGAGTCAAGGGCCTGTAAGACGTAGGTGGCACCCATGCCGAAGTGGTTGGAGTGTTCCGCAGTCACAATTCCGATGCCGTAAGTCTTTGCACGACGAATCGCATCCTTCATGGCCTTGGAGGCAACGATGAAACCAAAGCCATTGTCTCCATCGGCGTGTGCAGCGACTGGTGTCTTTTCGGTGATCTGGATGTTGGCCTTGGCGTTCACAAGGCCGCTCTGAACTCTTTCAATGTACTGCTGAAGTCTCGCCAGTCCGTGGGTATCCTATCAGGATCGGAAGTTAATTGCTATGTTTCCAACCGTGTCTGTCATATGAACTGGGCCTTTTAGGCACTTACAACACCGCGAGTGTCAGCCTGTACCAGACACTCAGCCATGAGATTGGCATCATCCTCAGGAAGACCTGACTTCACCAGAAGTGTCTTGGCGAAGGTGACGGCCTCGCTGGGCTTAGCGTAGTAGCGTGCTGGGGTAGACATTCTGATCGATGATGTATCTTCACAACAGATTGAGATGCTCGTGTTGTTCAAAGCAGTTTGAACAGACTGGGTGCCAAACTTTCAAGCAAAAAGCACGATAATAACAATAGCCTTCACGGATGCTACCGGCCGTATTCATCGTCATTTTCGAGATAGACCTCACGCTTAAACCCTCATTGGTCGGGTTAACCCGATGAAATGACCCCTCCAAAGCCTGAGCACCGGCCAAAAGCCGAGGACTGCCCCGCCCCCGCATGCGGACTGCTCCTGTTCGTCAATTGACGACTCTGGTCAAGCCACACATAAGGATTCCCCGCCAAGAAAGAAGTCCAAGCAATTCTTCAACCAAAGTCTCGGGTTTCCCCCGTTTCCTCTTTGCACCAGCATTGATGCTTCACGTCGCGAAGATTTATACACAAGAGTCCCCGATAAGCCCGGTCTCTTACTTGTGTAAGAGCCCTCTCCACAGAATTAGTCGATGGACGCAGACGCTGCCGGATCATCTGGTAGGTCCGAAGAGCCCGTATCGACTCGGCAACGGCCCGGTGCGGCGTCGATGACGGGGCCGGGCCGCAAGAAAGGTACGGCATGCGCCCGCTGCCGCAGTCAAAAGATCCGTTGTGACGATGAGCGGCCATCTTGCACCAACTGTGCACGTTCGGGGCACCCAAGGGCGAATCTTGCGAATAATCCCGACGCGGTCAAGTAAGCATCCAAATCGAAAGAATTACCCGTTTCGGATAGCAGAATGGCAAACTGACTTGAACACCGCAGCCATGTCACCAAACTGGAGGCTCGATTGCGGTCTCTTGAGGACTCACTTCGTCGGGTAGCCCCCGAAGAACTTGACAGGGCCCCGGAAGTGGAATCGCGGTCGGCCATAGCGCCATCTATCACGGTCTCTACCGCCCCCATGTACGAGACAAGTCCTACTATGGAGCAAGCGCAGCAATGGCCCATGCAGCAACCCTTACCCACGCCAATCGACCAGTCAAGCCATAACGAGCAGGATATCTATGACGACCAAGAGCTCATCGTGGACACCGAGGGCCTTCCTCAATTGGACACTATCGAAGCAGACTCAGGCATTGAAGATGCTGTTCACGAGGATGAGACAATCCCAGTCGACAACCACCCAACTGTTCAGTCCTCAGCGACTGAGAACAGCACATCGCTCAGTCCATCTGCCTCCACAGAGATTGGTCCAAGCGAGCCTCTTGCCCATGAGGTTGGTATGCTGTCATTGGCCAACTCCAAGGAGTCCAAATATCTCGGCCCCTCCTCGGGCGTACCCTTTGCGCGCCTCACCTTCTCAGCCATACCTCAATCTCAAGGCTTGTCAGTGAGCCGGTCAGCCCCAGAAGGAGGGACAGTGGCGCGGAAACCTTCGCCTGCCCATCATCCCTTTCCACCTCATTGGACGTCTGAAGTCGACTTGCAGCATTTTGCACACGCATACTTCCAAACTCTCCATCCCCTATACCCGTTCCATTCAGTTCAAGTATTTCTTGTTCTCGCGTTGGGTGCTCGAATCTTGGAGTCTCGGCTCTCCGTAGAGTTCTCATCTGAGAGGTATCTCGCCACAGCTATGCAACGGATTGGCACCCTGGCTTTGCATGACAGCATAGAAGGACTACAGATCATGCTTTTGCTAGCCTTGACCAGCTTCTACTTATTATCAGTCGTCCTTGGACGTCCTTTAACCCTTCGAGACGAGGCTATTGATATAGAGTTTCCTGGCCATGTAGGTCATCCTGGAGATCATGCAGGGGACTCTGTCGGCAGCAGTGCGTTGACACCAGAGAGCGCTCGCTCTCCGCACCACTCAACAAAACGGGCAAGGGTCATGGTCAATCCGTATGCAGCTGCGCAATACTCTTTCAAATTCGACCAAATTGCGGCTGAAATCAAGCTGATGATATACCGTGTCGTCAATCTGCCAAACAGGTTCCCATGGCCTACGGACTTCGACACCTGGCAGCCGGATGTCCGCAAGCGCTGCGACGCGACGCACTACTTGAAGGGCTCAGAGCTGAGTTTCGTCGGGGCTTTCGGCGAAGTACTTCGGATGGTGTCGTACAAAATCTCGAGCTGAAGTACCATCACTGCATCATGCTTCTCTACCGTCCGTCACCCGCCATCACCAGGCCAAGTTTCGACTGCTGGAAGATTTGCTACGAAAGCGCCGTCGCCACGATAGAGATCAACTCGGAGCTACACCGGTTCTCAAAACTCTCGAACAGTTGGTTGACGGCACATACGGTCTTTGTAAGCGGTATCACTTTTCTTTACTGCTTATGGGTCGTGCCGAAGATCCAACAAGAGACGTCGCTGGTGGCATTCAAGAGCAACGCAGATGCGTGCAGCAACCTCTTAAAGTACCTCGCCAAGACATGGAGTGTGGCTGCCGATGCTGTGTTGAAGTATGAGAGGCTTGTTCATCTGACGATGGAGTCATGGAAAGCTGCCGCGAACCGACCGCCCAGTGCAGAAGTCGCGGCTGGCCAGTCTCTCGTGTCAATGGCACAGGGACAGGAGACGGAAGCCAGCGAGATCACGTCTGCACCGGTCATGGACCCAAGCCTCTATACGATGGATGCAAACATGGGCATGGGAGGAGAATTTGAGGCTGGCTCATTTTTCAATGAGCTGGGTGATATGAGCTCATGGTTCGACCTTAATTGGCTTTTGGACGCCAGTGCTGGATTTAGTTCTACAGATGATCCAGCAGGTCCAGCATTGTTTTGATAAAGCAATAAGATACTTCCGCTTGCCGTATTTACCTAGATCAACTTCGATCGAAGTGAGTCTTTACTACTTTCCGGCCGAATGCCTTTTTTCTGGCCAATGCTTCTAATGCCAAGACATTGAAGGCATCTTGAGGGCATCTTTGGGGGTCAACAAAGCCGTCTGGGCCTTCTCATCATTGACTCGTTATTTTGCCTTCACATGAGAAAGAATGAATAGATCAATGTGGATTCGGCTTTCATCTTCATTTTCAAGTCGCTCACCCAGGTTTGAAATGACGATGCTTAGAATCAGCGTGCACTCCGGAAGCACGGCACAGACCGATTCAACCGAAAAGTGGGCTCGGGTTTTGCCCGGTCACGATGACGCCACACTCGGGATAGCCCCGATGGCAGCTGCGCTCAATACCCGAAATTGCAGCTCTTCTTCCATTTGAGCTTGTGTTCAGTGTGCTGGGAGGCGTTGGCGAATAGAGTTCTTTCAGCATTGAGACCGACGATTCCCAAAATGGCGAGCATGCATCAATTTGCGCATGCAGTGAGAAGGGCGAATTCGTCGTCGCCCTTACTTTCAGCTCTGCTCCGCACTCAATGTCGAGCTGCGCCGCGTTGTTTCCAAGCATTCAGTTCCTCAGCTCGTTGTCAACAAAAGCCGCAAGTAGCAGTTCTCTATCAGGAGATTGACCCTCCAGTGATCGCTGGAAATGTCAAACCGAAGAAGCCCGGTGGTAGGTAGCCAAAATAATGAGACAAAATGAATTTTCGGATAGCTAAAGTTTGGTTTTCAGGTTACAAAGACTCCGGTGCCGATATTGCATACAACCTAAGTCTCTCAAGCGAGGTTCAAGTTCTTAGCCCGAATTCGCAACCAGACCCTCTCAAAGATGCCGATTGGTGTTTCCCCGACAACGAAGACGGTATTCTGAGCGCGATTGATCAAGGCGCGACGCATCTGTGGGCGAACACAATTCTCTTCGCCAGCCACCCGCTCCAGACCTCGGCGCGCATTGGGGAAAATGAGAAGAAAATCAAGGTTATTGGACAAGGACCTCTAATTGTCGAGAAGTACGATGACAAAGATTTCGTCAACACTCTCCTGCGGCAGCAAGGAAGCTTCACTATGCCGTGGGCCTGCATCATCCACGCCAATAAGGACACGCCTGACTATAAGTCATATCCGTATCCGGTGGTTGCAAAGCCTGCACGTGGTCGCGGCAGCCATGGCGTGAAGGTCTGCCAGGATGAGTACGAGTTGAGTTCCCACATCAAGCTCCTTAAGTCTGAGGGAACCAATGCGATCATCGTGGAAGAGTTTCTTGCAGGCGAAGAGGCCACGGTGACAGTCATGCCTCCGACATCTGACAAGGGATACTGGTCTCTGCCTGTTGTCACCCGATTCAACCATCAAGATGGCATCGCCCCCTACAACGGCACAGTTGCTGTCACTGCAAACTCTAAAGCCGTTGTTGGCTCTGAAGACCCGGCCTACGAGGAAGTTGCCAAGGAATGCGAGAAAGTCGGAGAGCTGCTTGGTACCACGGCGCCTGTCCGTACCGACGTCCGCAGGTTCAAGGCAGGCTCCAAATTCGCCCTGTTCGATGTGAATATGAAGCCTGTAAGTTCATGAGCCCGGAACTGATGTGTTTATGTCATAGACGCTTACGAAACGGGTTTGCAGAATATGACGGGACCAGGCAGACCGGGTCGAGACAAACAAGCAAGCTTGACACTACTTGCAGCAGCAGCTATTGGCTGGGACTACAAGGAATTGCTTCGCCAGATTCTGGGCACGTCGTGCACCCTCGAAGCCCTTAGAAAGCTTGCACCTCGTATCTAAGCTGAATGGGTGGGAATGGAACGATAAACTAAGTAAACTAAGTAGAACTTGAGGTGTCTTTTAGCATGACCATTCAGTCGCTTCGATGATGATACAATGTCTCCACAAACCTGCTTATGGCGAGGTGCGAAGCCGACTAAAGGCCTTCAAAGACAACCTTCGCAGGCTAAGGTGAATCATATGACGGCAATAAAACATTTCCGGCTAATATATTTCCCTATCTGAAGTCTGAAATGCAATAGCTAGAACTTTATTACAAATCCATCTAACTAGCATATAGGATACCACGCTACTACGTCTGCTACATCTACCTCATGTTTCAGCCGGTGTTCCTACGAACCAAGATATAAACCATTTCACTCTTTGATCTTAGTTATTCTTGAATCGGCTACTATCATTGGTCTACCCGAACATTGCGTGCGAGCTATCCAGTCTGGTGGCTGATCATGATAGGTGGGATTCGATTTTCTGAGAGTCTTGGCCTCCGGCCATATGCCGGTGCGGGCCGGCGTCAATGCCGGGGTATGAACGTCCCCATAATGCAGGCCCCGGTGGACCATGCCAAGGGCTCAAGTGCTGAACAGGGCCTCGTCAATATCAGAGCAAAGGACAAACTGTCTCAGCGATCTGATTTCTGCCTTTTGCTTTTCATAACTGTAGCAGGCGTTTGTTCTGAAAAAGGCTTTCCATCTTACACGTTATCGTCTATCAACATTTGTTTTAGACTGTCAAGATGACTCTCATTCATATGGGTAAGTGACCATCCTCCTTTTTGATTTGCCTATAGTTGTCTGACAATGTGGAAAGTGTTGTTCAAATTCCGACCGGAGATTACCAAGGAACACAAGGAGACGTTCGTAAGAGAGCTCAAAAAGTTGGAGAACCTATCATGCGTCAAAGACAATCGCCTTATCGTCGGAGGACCCTCGGTGACCGATCCGATTGAACGAAGCAAGGGGTTCGAGTTTGCCCTTCTCAGCTACCATGAGAACCGCGCTGCGTTGGACGAATACCAAGCAAGCAAGGAGCACCACTGGTAAGGCGATCCCTTCCTTTATACACGAGGACTAACGTCGCTATAGGGTCACGCAGACTTACATGTTTCCTTTCAAGGAGAACTTGTGCCGGTTCGATTTCGAGGTTGACGAGGCAGACGAGTACATGTGCGACTTCACCAAGCTGGCGTCAAAGCTGACTGGTGGACTTTCCACACCCGAGGAACAGTCTCTATAATGAGGAAAGATACACATAATACAGCGTTGTGTGATTCATTTTGTCACTGGTGATGGCATGCTTCTCTTTACGGTGCTTTTGGACCTAGTCGCATAATTGCGTGCACTTGATGATGGGTTGGCCATTACACGTTAGCCTTCTTCAACACAGCCTCCCCACATGTATGCTCCCTACCTCACATGGAGGATGTGGACATGTGCTAACCGATTGATTGGGTACTACAACTAAGGATGTTTCGAACAAGAACAACTCTTATCAATTCCGGTCCTTCAAAGGAAGATGTGCTTTGATCAATCAGGGGTCCAATGCTGGTTGACATAGTCTGGCCCTCCACGGCAAGCCCGGGGTGAGACCGCATATCGGAAGGATCCGAGCCCTTCGGATCCTGGTATTCGGGCCGTGATCACATCGCATAGCCGGTGCAGCGGACATAAATTGCCCTCTATTGATCAATTTGGACCGAGATTTCAGATGACCTTCTGCAAATCAGTTTTATCACTGTCCACATTCAGTCGAGATACGTGTCTTCAACTCAACCCCCTGTCTTCACACAAAAGCCACTGCGATATCGTCAACATGCGCATCGGCGTTCTCAAAGGCAATGGCATCGATCCGGAGATCATGCGTGCCTCACAGCGTGTTCTCGAAGCCACCGGCATTCCCATTGGATGGGAAGACATCTTGATTGCTGATGAGGCCATCGAAAAGCACGGGCACCCCATACCACCCGAGACGGTGGCTCAGCTCCGATCGGTCGGCGTAACGCTCAAAGCCCCGATCATTACCCACAAGCTCGTGGGGCGCATTACCTGTCTTCAGCCTGACGGAACTTCGGCGACCTATCCATCACTGAACAATGCGATCAGACGGGAGCTAGGTCTCTTCGTAAACCCGCGACCTGTTAAGGGGTATGCAGGCGTCTCTGGCCGCTACGAGGAACTCGATTGCATCATCATGAGAGAGGTCACTGAAAATCTCTACTCTGGTATCGAGCACAAGATTGGGGACGACATCGCCGCCGAGGCAATCAAGCTCACCACGCGTGCAGCAGCCACGCGGGTTGCGCGATACTCATTCCAGTATGCCCGCAAGTACGGCCGTAAGAGAGTGACTTGCCTGCACAAGGCTAATGTGCTCAACTACACGGATGGCCTGTTCCTTCGCTGCTTCCGGGAGGTCAGCAAAGACTACGAGGACATTGAAACCGAGGAGCTCATGATCGACGCTGCCTGCTAACTCATCGTCAAAGACCCGAAGAGGTTCGACGTTGTTCTTGCGGCCAACCAATACGGCGACATCTTTTCGGATTTGGCTGCGGGGCTCGTCGGTTCTTTGGGACTGGCTTCGGGCATGAATGTCAGCAATGACCTCGCTGTCTTTGAGGCGTCTCATGGTGCGGCCCCTGACATTGCTGGCAAGGGCATTGCCAATCCGCTGGCCTTGGTTTTGAGTGGCGCCCTACTTCTGGAGTCTGTGGACCGTCGGAAAGAGGCAAATGCAGTCAGAGAGGCTGTGCGCGTTGTGGTTGAGGGGCAGAAAGACCTGACTCCTGATTTGGGAGGTTCGGGAACGACTGATTCCTTGACTGATGCTGTGGTGAGAGAGGTCAAGAGAATTATGACATGCACATGAATTCTGCGTACTATGCCTATATGAACGACGCTAGATGTAATTAGAACTGTAATCCTGTCTCCAAAGCCTCTCTGTGGTTCTTATTTGTGGAAGCATTTGACGATCCAGTGTGAGTATTTGGAATAACCTTGATTACTGGTCCTTTTACGTTTGATGAGAGTATGCGATAAATGATCGCTGGAGAACTAAATCATCATGTAGATACTTAGGGATCAAAGCCTAGCTTGACTATGATTGGAAGAGTTAATGAGTGACTGTACTACAACATGAAGGTTTTGACAGAACGAGAAATAAAATCCGTAGAAAGAGGGAAAGGACCGGCCAACCAGGCAGTGGGAAACACGTCCCCAAAGTCGGTATATCGTTGCAGGTCCACAGACCACCAACCGATAGCATGCATACCGCCAAGACATGAAGTGGTCGTGTACGAGTATCAGGCGGACTTAGGGTCTGCACCTTCCATGTTCGCATGAGGGGCACCGAACAGGGCGTCCATCTCTTCAATAGGCACCCCCTTAGTCTCGCGGATACACCACCAAGCCCAAAAACCCATGCACACCATTAGGGCCCCAAAAAAGAAGTATGCTGTCGAACGTTAGACATCACTCCAACCGCTGAAAATCCCACTTACTCCCGTAACCGATATCAGAGATAATGTACGGTGTCGAGCGAGACACAACATAAGACCAAAGTCTCTCATCGGCGATAGTGAGGGCCATGCATAGGGACCGGAGATAAAGAGGATAGATCTCTGATGCATAAAGCCATGTGATCCCCTGAGATGCATTAGTGGAAGTGTCAAGAGGTGCTATAACGTACTCACCTGCCAAGATGCACAGCAGATTACACCATAAAGGTAGACGCAAACCATTGCTAGATAAACCCATCCAGACATGGTCGTTCTACCTGCTGCTACGGCTGCTTCAGGGTCGTTCTTCATGGCATAACCTCCCAGGTATAGCTATTTAAGGATTAGACAGTGGACCTCACTCAAGATATGATGGATGTTTCTCACCATAGGCACCGCACCCACAAAGGCACCCCAGATAAGCACCTTACGTCGGCCAAAGTGATCGGCAACCCAGAATGAGAAGATTACCATTCCAAGCGTTTTTGCAACGCCATAGAATCCAGTGGCGAAGAGCTTCAGATCCGTTGATTGCATTCCAAGAGTTTGGAAAATGCGAGGCGAATAGTAACTATAATGCCAATGGTTAGCTACAGGGCTTGATTCCCTGAGAAGAGAGATGTTCCATACGTGATGATGTTGACTCCTGTCATGTTCTGACACCTGGAAACGTATTTTAGCAAGATAACTTGATAGATGACCCTGCAGAACCTACATCATCAAGCAAAGGCCAATGGCTAGGCGGTTGCGAATTCCCTTCTTTGTGAGGTCCTTGAGCTTTCCCTTGAGTCCAGGGTGCTTTGCAGCTAGATGTGCTTCGAATTCGACTGCAAGTCGAATTTCACGCATTTCATGAGCCACATACGGATGGTCAATCGGGAGTTGCCGTATGTCAGCAAGAATTCGCTCAGCTTGGTCCCACATATCTTTTCCGCAAAGCCAACGAGGCGACTCGGGACAGAAAGGAAGGACCACCAGAAGGATTGCACCGGGCAATATTTGGAGTCCAAGAGGAACCATCCACTGGGTGCTTGCTGCAAATGTCTCGTCAGTCGCTTCAGCTTTGTAGTCAGGAGACAAAGACTCACTGTTGGGACTGATAGTCTTATTGACGGCATAATTGACCCAGAACCCGAGCATTTGCGCGCCCTGGGACCCAATCTCATAGAAACCTACGAGTTTTCCACGGATGGTTGGGGGCGCAACTTCGGCGATGTATCTGTCAAGGACGTCAATGAATCAAGTGTCCTGTTTCGGTGCGCTTGGGTCAAGCAAGACTTACACTGGGATGACCGGAGCCGAAGCCCCTACACCTAGACCCGCGATACATCTTCCGGCCATGACGAGGGCTACAATGCCGCGAGAGCCTGTCTGAACTGAAGCGCCGGCAAGAAATATAATCGTGGCAATAGTGATGCACCATTTGCGACCCCAACGGTCTGATATGGGGTACGAAGCCAGCGCACCAAGAAACCCACCCTGAAAACAAGAAACAATGTTGGATGTCAGGTCGTCCAGCTGACGTTGAGTTTTGCCAATGAGACCGAAGTCACGCTCGAACGAGGGGAGAATCAATGTGCCTCCCATAACGGAAACATCGTAGCCCAATTGAAGTTGTCAGTGAAATTTAAGATATCAAGATGAATCGTTTTGGTCAAAATACTAACCTAGAGCCACGGCTCCGAGGCAAACGCCCATACAGTAGAGGTAAATCTTCCAGTTGGACACTTCCTTCGGCACAGTCAAAGTCTCTGACCCATCAGTGTCATTGATATCGCTGATGAACGTTTCCGTGGTTCCAGTCTTCTCCATCATTGCGAAAAGTGTTGTGGGTGTGCGAAAGTGGCTTAACAGATGAAAATCTTAACGGGGTTAAAAAGTCAATCCAGCACAGGCTCAGCCGTGGTAATCCTCAAGGTGATCAAGTGAAAGTCTCTGTGGTCCTGAATCGCAAGTCTTATCGTTCTCATCGTGCTGGCTTTCACATCACGTTTGTCAGTTTGCTGTGAAATCTGCCGAAAGAAACGTCCACAAAATTCCTGAGCCAATACCAGTCTACATCTAGACAGGGGTAATGCTGCACCACATGCAGCTTGCAGAGGTTGTGCAACGTGCGGAGAACACCCAACTGTTTGGATGAACTCTTGATGAACGACGGACGATGATTCAACTCTGATTCTGCGCGGACTCACGCCGAACAATGTCCATGAACCGTAGAACATCGCCACGGAGGAATACTGACCGGCTCATGCCCGGTCTATCACATCACCCGTGAGGAACCAGCAAGCTCTTGGCGAGAATTTCAGTCTATCTCATGATCATTTCTGCCATGCGCCAAGAACGACCAACGCCAAGACCAGTTCCTTCAGAGCTGCAGATGCGGGGAAGTAAGAGCTTTGTTGTGAAGGTATGCTTCACAACGGAGCCTTCCGATGATGGGTATCTGCAGACCGCCAGGGATCTATTACTGAGACGTAAATCCGTGTGTAGATATCGTGCTTCTGGCAGCGCAGGATGCGCCTTTGTCGGAGCTATCCGTTTGATTGCCCACGAGGGCAACGGCTTGCGTTGTTTGACTGAAGTCTCACCCCGCATGCTTATTCGGTGGGACAGCCTTCCTCATCCTGCAATATACCGAGTGTGGAGAATCCACAAGACTACCATTTGTGGACACAGCGATAAGCATGTCCTCTTGAACTCGATATTGTACACAGTCAACAATATGTGATCACAACCTCAGCAAATTCCAAGTTCACCCGAGGCGAAGTCGATAATCGTAAGATTATCATAGAGCGGCAGAGCATAGCCACGCTGTAGGTATGATGTTGATCTTTGTGGTTTGGATCATGCTTTGACGTAAATCCTGGACTTTTCTGTTTGTCCACTATATCTTCGGAATCTGGTGAGTCTACTGCACAGTTTGCCTTGAGCTGTATTCTTGTATTTCTCATACCCATGCAATTGCTGTAAATTCCTGGACTCATGGTAGCTCAACCGCCGCTTTCATTGCCAGGATGAATTCCAAAGTGAGACTGTCATATTAGAAAGCTAATCGAGACACATACGATCCTCCATTCATTGGCTTCCAAGCTAGCCTTGAGCGATCCATTCAAAGTGTACGACCATGTACCGGTGCTCGGAAAAATCACAGTAGTTAATATCAAACGTGCCATCCAACTTCTGCAAGTTGCTTCTTTTCCGTCTGTTAGCTCTCGCCAAGCCGGAAGTTGCTTGCTGTCGGAACGGAATGGGAGGTAAGGCAGACCGCATGAGGCAGAGTGATTCCCAAACTTGCCTCCGAAATCTTGATATCACGTTCAGTCGAGGCTCGAGCACTGCCACACTTCTTGAGAATCTCGATTTTGAAGACAATGGAAACAAATGCCATACTGTCTCTTTTTGATCAATATGCCCCGCCTCAGTAATACAGTATATTACTCTTCGAGTTAAGGCCATAATATGTCAAGTTCCTCCTCACATGCACAGCCGAACTCTTGACTCATAAAAGCATCGTCTTCAACCTATATCTCTTTTAGACTTTATCAATCCGCATACCATCTCTGAACCGTCGGCCGCCTTGCCCACAATGACCAGCAACATGCTTGCTCCTCCTGCCCCTCATGGTCCGTCGAGGTCGCGGTCTGCAAGCAAGACGGACACAATGATCTCGACAACTTCCAACCCATTCTTGACGCCAACAGTGACCAGCTGTGCTTCCTCGTCTCACGAGGACTCCGAGGAGGAGGCTCTCAAGCCTGATCCTGGGACTGAGGGTGATTTCAAGGTTGATAACAACCCTTTTCACATCGCTGACAAACACTGTTCACAGATGTGGAAGATGATCATTGGACAGTCTACTAGGTATCTACCAATTGATTGTGACATTTGTTCTCTGCTTTGGTGGAGGCGCCATTCTCAACTACGACCTGAACGACCCCGATAAGAAACTCGAGTTGGAGACAATCGTCTTCAATACCTTCGTATGGATGCAAATCTTTAACGAATTCAACAATTGGCGACTTGACAATAAGCTTAACATCTTCGAAGGCGTTCACCGAAACTTGTTTTTTATTGTGATCAACTGCATTATGGTTGGGCAGCAACTGGCAATCATTTTCATCGGGTCCCGAGCGTTCCAGAACCCCCCCGGCGGTCTTGACGGTACACAATGGGCTATCTCAATTGTCGTTTCGGCGCTCTGCCTACCTTGGGCCATTCTCGTTCGTTTGTTCCCCGATGCTTGGTTCGCTGCCATTGCAGAACCTGTTGGCAGGCCATTCCTAACCTGTTACTCGTGGTTGAGCATGGGGATTTCTTCCTCGATGGGAGCATTGAGAAGGAAGCAGGAGGAAGATACTGAAGCAGGCCGTCCGCCAATGGTGGTTGTCTCAAATGACCATGGCATCAGGAACCAAGAGAAGATCTGAGCGAGAGTTATCCGGCCACAATTGTTCACCATGGGTATGTGATTTCGTATCACAATCTCATGGCTACCAAGCACGGTGTACAATTTCATGCGTTGTTTTCATTTCTGCAAAGTTGCGATTCTTGATCAATTGGATTTTGACGATGGAGAGGGGCACAAAAAGCAAGTTTTGACAAGTCGAAAACACACAACTTAAACACGCACGCACACATAGAAGAAGAAGACTTTCATTTTGACAAGTCTGGAATATTTCTTCCCGTCTTTTTCAAGAGTCATATTGCTCGCCGCTCTGTCGTTCAGATGCGGCCGGATCACCCGCCGCCGTAAGGTCGCGCGATCGGGGCGAGCGGGATGAGCAGGCTTAGTAATAACAAGTTAAATAAGCAAATAAGTGAATTAGCAAATCTGCTAGAGATCTCTAATTACCGACTTACCTCTGAATCCATGAACGTCTTTTCGAGAATCCCGGAGGCCACCGCTCGTAGTCCAGGTCCATAAGCGTGATTCCGTCTTTTGGCTGGTAACCCTCCGGCGCCCTCTTCCACTCATCGGGGATAGAGACGTACGTCTCAACATAGCTTGCGTTGCAAGACATGCCATTGTAAACAGAATCTGGCTCGCCTTTGTTCGTTCCAATCCCAGGGGGCGACGAGGGCAGCTCCGTGTCAAAAGAGTGTATGTGTTGTGGTAACTCTTGCACCAAAGGGTCGAGCCGTGGCACGCCTCGAGTCATATCAACCCCCAGTTCCCCCGCTTTACGCCCTAGAGCTTCACGATAATGTACATTATGGCTTCGCCTGGCCTCATTCAGCAGACTGAAACTCGGATCAACGGGCTCGCCACCGTCGTTCCCAGCAATAAGGCTATCGAATAGCGTCTCGTTGTTCGAGAAGATGGCGGCACGAGCGACATTGGGCCGCATTGGGGGGACGAGGCGTGCGAGAGCCTCGTACGTCGAGGAAGCAGCGACGGCAGGATACCAGATCAGTCGAGGGCAGGCTCCTTTAGGAGACAGGATGTAAGATAAGTCGTTGTTCATGATTCCTCGCGCCGATATGGCCTTGCGGATGGCCGATTCGTCACCCTCAGGTAGTGGCTGACTTTTCCACCATTGCGCAAAAAGCGTATTATGATCTGCAGAAGATGTCAGAAGCTTCGAAAGGCCTCCTCTTGGAAGGATTGGCCATAAATATTCCACGGACAATACACCCGATCTCTTGGTCAAGGAGTCGTGGTCGGCGCAGTCGATGGTACCTTTCGATGTCGCCGTTGCATGCTGCCATGAGAATGAGCAAGTCTTTATGGCAGGTGGGCAGATCGACTGGCAGTGGCTGGCAGAGAATTCTCAGTGCCTCTTCATCAGAATTCGGGACCACTGGGGTAACTGAACCCGGAATACCACCATTACCGTCGAGATCGATGTTCATATCCTCGGTGATGTTGAAGCGAGTCTGTATGGAGCCGAGTGGAGGGCTCAGGCCCCAAGGATCCAACTCCTCGTCTTCAGACTCGGAATCCCCTTCTTCGTCATCCATGCGACCAACTGGAGGTCCAAACGCCCGGGTCTCCAGCATGTACGGTCGGATGGCGGTATCGCCGTTCAAAAGAGGGGGCTTCGGTGCTGTGGTGTTAATGGTACGGTTGTAATCATCAAAGACTTTGTACTGACAGGGCGCCTCCATGATCATATTGAAGATGGCATGGTTGCCGTTCTCGCGGGCTTCCTCGGCGATAGAAACCTCGGGCAGGATCCGAACGGCAAGCTCCTTGTAAGGCTCTGTGTGTCCGGCGACAGCACATGTGCGCGCGGCCTGGTAGGTCATGGCGGGAAAACACTGGACGAGCTCTCTGATGGTGTCTTCCGAGGGAAGGTCAGGAAACCAGATGCAGTAGGGCATATCCTCGGGTTGGTCGGGATCTATGTCTGGGACTCGATTGCTCATGATGGCTCTGGCGTTCAGAGCACGAGTAAAGAGTGGTAGCGATCCACGGAGGACGGCGGCTGGGCCGAAGCAAAACCCCGCATGGAACCTAATGCCGTGGACGACTCAGAGGCGCGTGAGCTCTCGGCCGAGATCGTGTGGGAGTAGTTTGCCCTTGAATGCTGCCACAGCATCCGCGTGGGTGTATCTGCGAGACTGCAGGCGCTTCTCGAGATCGCCTGAATCCGCCTGCTCTGCTGCCTGGCGTGGCAGCTCAGCCATCGTGGTTTTCGTCTGGTGTTGGGGGTGAGGTGATGTTTAGGTTGGAAAGAAGTACGGACTTGAACAAGGGTGATTTTATCCACGATCCGTTTATGTCCCACCTTCCCTATTGGGACGCCTTCGGAAAGCCAAGGTACACCAGCTTAGACGGTCATCTCGCAGTCTCCCTTCGTAGTGGCTACGGATCCTACAGCCCTCTGGGCATCGCAGAAGCATTCGCAAGCGAATTGCGCATTATCGATGCAGAATTTCGCGCAACTTTCAACCGTCATGTCATCGTCATCCAGAACGGCAATTTGGCGAGAAAGAACAGGGGGTCGACGGGTCAGCACTTGGATTCTTCTCTATCCGAATTACGGACCCCGATTGACGCGCCACTTAAGTTGATCTGAGAGTCTTCAGCAACATGCACGGCCAAGGCGGAGTAGATGCATCAGCTCTTCAAGCCATAAGCTAGGCCATTCAGTCTGTAAAATATGACTTACACTATGGTGTGGAGCATTGGGAGCCAATTTTCACGTCTTGTTTCCTTTACCGCGCTGTGAGTGGCATCTTCTTGTCTCGATCTGTCTCATGATCCTATCGTCGCCGAGTTGTCTGCTTTAAGACACGGCATGTCTTTGTATGCCAGGCTCTTCTTCTACACCAGCTATGGGACCCAGGCCCCTCGTACAAATTAAAGCCAATGCTGGCGGTGCTCCGCACCAGTCTGAATTGGGAACATCGTTTGACCTTTGGAAACCGCCTAGAATGGCTATTCTAATTGCGTTACCGACAACATTCCCTATGCTTCGTTGGGCTCATACTCGTCCTTGACCTCCAAACAACAAGGCTACTAATATAGCGGGTGCTCCCTAGTTCCTGGTGCCGTCTTTGTCATCATCGACTACCTACTCATCGTAATGGCTAAGATCACACCACAGGCCCTCTCACTCCAGGGGACATCGACGATTGGAACATGTAGTGTTTGCCAATCACAGATGACCCAAATCCTGGCATGCCATTTGGGATCACAGGGAACGAAAGCGCAGATCTTGAACACAGTGTGATGGCGACGGCGGCCCACGTCGATCCTAACATCATAACAGACAGCCAGAGGCTAGCAAAGGCGAACGAAGTAGAGCCGACTAGCGTGCAGCAGGCGATGTTTTCCTCATCCTCTTGACCAAGAGTATTCATGGTGGGGTTCACCAAGAAGGAGACTGCGAAGAGACAAGATTGGGAGCCACCGAAAGATTATACGCGTATCCTAAAGGACCCTCGTATGACCCCTCGTTGCTCCACGCCGTCATTCAATAATCTTCAACCGGACCAATCTTCTTCATTCACTCTCAGTTACCGAATGTTCATCACATACCATGCATAGTGCCTTTAATCGGGCCGAATATCAGCATATTTGAACAGTTTTGTTATCCCATCGATGGAGTCTAACCCCATACAAGAGGTATGGCGGCCCTGCCATTCGCAACTTCTTGTGATACTACCAGATTCCCCACGGGGACAACAACGCGGGGTATGCATCAATCTTGCAACGCTAGTTGTCGATCTACCGGGGTATTTCCGCGAAAAACACTACAGTGGCCAGTAACCTCGGCTCTTACCATCGAAGTGGGATCATTACCGATGAGGTGAGGCAGAAATCAGGACGAGTAAAAGCCGATGTACCGCCGCACAAAGGCTTTGGATTGCTCAGTTGAGTCTGGAATTGACCAGGAAAATCTCGGCTGTTGGTAACCATCAATACGTCCTACTTCGTGCAAGCGGTGCGGATAATACATAGTATCGGCTGTTGATTCCCCGAGAGATACAGGCGGCAATAAGAAAGTTTGCTCCCGTATAATTACGTGTATAAATGTACGCGCACATCCAACATTCTTCCAGTTGTATGCTTCTTTGAGCAAGGAGGTTCTGAGCCTGATTGCAATCATCCGCGGCGGCCGCTCAGAGACATGATGCCAACGATGAATCCCACTCCAGGGGTCGTTATGGTCCTTTTGTAAGTAATACATAAAATTAGCTCATGGGATGATACTAATAACCCCCAAGAGTGAATCTTTCCTTGATCACTGCGCAAAGCGACTACCGATGGCCAGCATATCGACCTTTGGAGTACGCCACCCCTGTACCAAAACCCACAACAACTTCGACCTTCGCGCTGCTTTATTCCCAGCTTTCGAGCCTGTTAGAACCACGCTCAACAACAACTTGGGATTCTCCTGACTCAACGCCGATGAATCACGGTATCGAGTACGGGAACGCAGCTCTCTCATCTTTATGGGCTCCTATCCCCGTCTCATCACCCCCGTTCACAACCACAGTTTTGCCAACGCCGATTCCACGCAGTGAGCTAATCAAGCCGCCGCCTTTACCCATCGCACCTACATTGTCTTCAAATGGCAGCTTCAAGTTTCCAAGTGATTTCCAATGGGGATTCGCTGGTGCTGCTCTTCAAATTGAAGGAGCAACCAAGAACGAAGGCCGTGGACCCAGTGCATGGGAGAATCGTTTGCGAGGCAACTTCTCCTCCTCTGGAGAAAATTCAGGACCACCGGACATCGCAACGATGAACTACTACCTCTACAAGCAGGACATCGCTCGTCTCGCAGCCGTCGGTGTGCAATCATACAGCTTCAGCATCTCATGGTCCCGTATCGTCCCTTTCGGCAAAGCCGGGTCGCCGATCAACAAAGAGGCCATCGATCATTACAACGACCTAATCGATACAGTGATCAGCTACGGGTTGAAACCAGTGGTAACATTGTACCACTTCGACTCCCCCGCGACGTTGCAGTCGAACACCTCATTCTTTTCGTATGATCACCCGGACTTCATCGACAGCTTCGTCTACTACGCTCAGACTGTTTTGGTCCACTATTCTGACCGTGTCGGTACGTGGTACACCTTCAATGAACCAACCATCGAACCCAGCATATCCGGCTCTTGGGCCACCAGCCGGTACGTCCTGGAAGCACATGCCAAAGTCGTCCGTTGGTACCGAGATGTCGTCAAAGGCGATGCACTCTGGAGCATGAAGTTCGATCTCACCGACACCGGCTTCGCACTTCCATTGGATCCATCGAATACTTCGGATGTGGCTGCTGCTGTTCGGCGCAACGAGTTCACAGTCGGGTACTTCGCCCGCCCCCTGTTCTTGGGCGAGAATCCACCGCAGTCGATGATAGAGACTGTCGGCGACAAGGTTCCGACGTATACGGACGAAGAGCTTGAGTTCTTCAATGGAACTGCCGACTTCTTCGCCTTTGACATTTACACCGCGACGTATCATTCTGAGCCAGAGGGAGGCTTCGCCGCGTGTGCTGCAGATTCAGAACATGCCCTGTATCCGCAGTGCACAGTCCCATCCAGAACCAGGGGGCTATGGGAGGCGAACTTCCAAGGAAACCCCGATCGCATTGCCGTGAGTCGCGCCGCTTGGAGAAAGGATGAATCTTGTGCTGACAAGAAGAAACGCAGGTGCCCGCCGAGCATGTTCGCGCCATGCTCGGTTTCTGGCAGGCAACGTATCCCACCGAGGGGGGAATCACCATTGCTGAGTTCGGTCTGCCTGCATACAAGGCGGCTGACATGTCAATAGAGCATATCCAGAACGATCTCGCTCAGTCTAACTTCTATATACCAATTCTTGCGGAGGTTTTGAAGGCCATCAACCTTGATGGTGTTCACGTAAAGGGGCTATACGGGTGGTCATTCCTCGACAACTGGGAATGGGGCCAGTACAATGACAAGTACGGCGTCCAGGAATTTAACGCTACTACTCAAGAACGGTTCTACAAGAGAGCCATCTTTGACTACGCCGGATTTATCCAGGATCACATCGAGGAGTAACGTGGCAAACCGAATTAATTGCACATTATCTGCCTGTTATTAGTGTAGTATTGCGTTATTCTTGCTAGCAGAAGCTGTATTGTTTTTCTCCTGTGCACTGTGTTTGTCGCCTGCGAGGGTGGATATGCCTGATTATGCAGACGACCCGAAAGACGCTCAATTTAAATCGCCCTCCATCAGACGTCACTCTCATCTTCTGGAAACAATTTTTGGAAGAGTCATCAGTAATAAAGACTCAACATTACTTCTAGAGTTTTTGCTAGGCAGGCAGTGTTCTCTACAACTTCAATCGCAGTATGCTAAATACTTCGATAAGGACGATAGTAGTGGACAAAATGCCGACGACTATCCGCGACGGCCTTTAGGCGAGATATTTCAAGACGAAGGGGACAGTCTCAACAACGTCCCAGTCCTCATCCTTCGTCTCATCACCGAAGATCTTCAATCCGCGGGCGATGAACTTGTAAGTGCCCTCAGGGATAATAGTCCGGTCGGCCAAGAAACCTCCAAAGTTCCAGGTGTATCCAAAGCGGTGAGCATATTCGACAGGCGAGTTGGGGACGGGGCCCAGAGTCGGGTATCCCTGGTGATCGGTCACCTTAAGGGTGGAGTTGGTGACTCCAACAGCAACAAGCTCAACGTGCAGCTGCGTGGTGCCGACAGTAGGGGTGACAACCATCTTGGGGTAAATGGCGCTGCCAGTAGATCCGGGGCGAGGGATAGTGAAGGTACGGTTGGCAACGACGGGGATGAGGAAGTGGTTGTCGGTTGAGGACAGGTAGACACCGTTGAGTCCAAGTCCAGGAACCAGGACGGGGGTATCGTGCATGCTACCGCCAACGCCGAGGTAAGGCACAGAGAGGGTCTCCCCATTGCTGCCTTCGAGAGTGATGTAGCCGCTGTACACAGGCAGAAGAGTGGCGTTCAGTCCAGAGGGAGGGACAGCTGTGAAAGAAACGTCGGCGCTACCTCCTGCGGGAACTGTGAGAGTGTCGGCGGCGAACTTGATGTCGGCCCATGCGTCGGCTGTCGGAGGAGGGGCTCTGGCAACGACCAGCTGAGCCTCACCGGGGGTGAAAGTATAGACAGTCGCAGACTTTGCATGACCAAGCTTGTAAGTAATTGCCTCAGAAGCAGTGTTCTTGACGCTGAAAGTGTGTTCTCCAACGAAGTGATCGGTGTCGTTGAAGGAGATGCCTGTTGACCCAAGAATCGTTGTCGCATGAGCAGCGTCCCAAGCTTGCACAAGTCCAGCGCCTTGCTGAGCCACAGGAGCCAAAACCTCGTCGTGGACGGTAGTCCCGTCGTTCCAGGCCCTGGGCTCGGCAGTGGCGGAAATGACGCTGCGAAGTGTCTCCTGGTCCAGGGTGCCACGAACTTGACCAACAAGAGCATACACGGCCGCAACGAACGGGGTACTCATGCTTGTGCCCGGGTTAACCATGTATTGCGATTGATCCCAAATCCACGTAGAAAGAATTCCGCCTCCCGGTGCAGTGAACTGAGGCTTGAGCTCAAGATCCCAGGTTGGGCCGTAGCTAGAGAACGGGCTGGTGTATCCGGCGGTGACACCGTTGCTGATCGGCTCAGCAAATAGACCGGAGCTGCTAGGAGGGCCAAAAGTGACGGTGATGTTCTCAGAGTTGTTGATCCATTCCCTGGCTTGTCTGTGCATAATCAATCCAGCGCCTAGAATTCCTTCGGTGTAAACATATGGGGGGTAAATTCTGCTGACCTCGCGTTAGCCCTTGAAAAAGGAATGGGGTACTAGATTGACGTACGATTCGCTTGAGGGATAGAAGAAGATGTACTTGGCTCCTCTGTCAAGGACATTTTGACCCTGGATATCCGAAGCGCAAGCGTCCATGTTGAGGATTGGAATGGCATCGGTCAAATCGATGTCTTCGGCAAGAGGCTCGCACGCGGAGTTGTTGACAGCACCAGCCCAGACTCTCAGAGTGACGTTGGCAGTGACTGCAGGTGCGCCGGCAGACCAACCGAAAGCATACTCGCCAGTCTCGTTCTTGAAAGTGCCGCGAGTCATCAAGTTAGGCAGAACAGTGTTGTCAACGGAGCCAATACCGGCAACAGCCTGGCCAGAGGCAGGGGAAGCCACAGCCCAGACACCCAAGTTGCCAGAGTTGCCGGCTGCAACAACGACGGGAACACCAGCCTCGGCGATGCGGGAGACAGCAACAGCAGCAGCGTCAATGGACCATCCAGAGTCATCGCCAGCAGAGCAGGAGATAACGTCGCTGCCGTCCTCGTAAGCCTTGTAGAATGCGGAAACCAGGATCTCACTGGTGGTATAGCCGGCGCAACCGCTGACTTTGTAGGCGCCGAGGGTAACATCTGGGGCAGCACCGGTGAAGCCGAGCTCGTTCTCCTGAGCAATGATGATGCCGGCAACGTGGGTTCCGTGACCCTGGCAGGTATCGAGGGGGTCAGCATCCGGCTGAGGCGCGTCAGAGCTCTCGACATAGTCGTCGCCCGTCAAATCCCACCCATATCCCACAGGGAAACCCTCGCCAAAGCCACCTCCAAGGGCCGGGTGTCTGTAGTCTACACCGGTGTCGACAATGCCGATCTTGATTCCCTTGCCGGTAAAACCAGCCTCGCGCAGCTTGTCGACCTGGGTCATGACATGGGTGCTGTAGGTGTCCTTGGCAGCCTCCTCACGGCGGGTTTTGATGGAGCGGAGGAGCGCCTCGCCGGTCGCAGTGCCGTTGCGGCCGACGGAGCTCGGGTTCGGCTTCGGCATCTGAATCTTGCGCACCGGCCAGACGCCCTTGACGCTGAGCTTGCCGGCGATCTTGCCGGCCGTGACGTGGGGCTCTTCGTCATCCTCAACGCGGATAGACGCGCCGTTGAAGAGGCGGTACTTCAGGTCCAGGCGGGGCACAACAGAGAGGCCATCGGATCGGAGCTCATCCAAGAGTCCCGCGGAGTCGGTCTCGCCGTCGAATTCGACGATATACGCGCCTTTAACGAAGGCATCCTCGTCGATCTGAGGAGCCGCGGGTTGGGCGTCAGCTGCTGCGACGCATGCCGTAGAGGCCAACAGGCCGAGTGCCAGGGAGGCGACATTAGAGGAGAACCTCATGGCGGTGTTTGACGCTGGATTTCAAGCGAGCGACCGGCGGTGACCAAACACCAGACATGATTGATCGAAAGCATTTTGAGCGGATATATATAAATCGACTCATTCTCAGCGTCAATCGCGCACACAGCAAATGCAGTGATGAGATTTCTGGCATGAGTTGAACACGAGAAATTGGGACCTTCCCGTTTGGTACCCGAAATTACCGGTGCTAGGGGCGACAGGCGATCTTCGGCTTGGCTGCTGCGACTCTGCTGTTCTTGACCATCGCCAAGGCGGCAAGCCGCTTCGCTTTCGGTCCTGTCGTTCCTGTTTGTTAAATCGGCCGAGATATTCCGGAGCCACGCCTCATCGTTCCTGCAGCCGTCCAGAGTTGACATGATTGAAAGTGCTGGCCCTTAGCTTTGCCTTGAAAGGCGCGTTTTGGCGCCCGCGTCGGTCGAGAGCCGAAGTTAAGGTCGTGGGGCCGCGGTCGTATTCGAAGATCAGGGGTGGGCCGGTACGAGCTTGGGGCACGTCATGCGCAGTGTGAAAGCACCAAATCGTCTATATCCCGGTCGTGTTGATATGCTTAAACAGCTTCACGAGGGGCGCCATCGCCGATGAGGCAGGAGGTTGTAGAATTAAGCAGAGGTGTGGGGGATGGTGTGAGGGCCGATCATGGCCAATTGTGCTCGAAGGTGATAACAAGCAGCAACGATTAGAGCCTAGCTGTCAGCAGTCTACAGACGGAACTTTTCTTATTTCCGGCTTCGCGAAAACGACGGCCTCTAACATTTCCGTGACGATAACCGTCCGGATCAAAAGGGTCACGATCCAAAAGTGATTGGGCATAGCACAACCTGGTTTCGATCCAGGGACCTCTGGGTTATGAGCCCAGCGCTCTACCCCTGAGCTATTGTGCTTGGGTGATTGGGGGTTATTGTGGATATGGTTCCACACCGTCGCCGTGGATTATCGGGTCTGATGAAGAGCTGGAGATTAGAGGAAAGCCCACACATATCAGTTTAAGCGATGGACAACAGATTATCCAACGACGAGCGCGTGATATACTTGTAGGTTTACAACTTTTATCCGTCTGAGGCCCCTTTTCTGCATCTTTAGGCAAGTTGCGAAAGTTTCAGGTATCATTCTCATATTTAGAGAGTCGAAAATGATCAGTATGACGCTTCATAGGTAGCTTCGCGAGGGTCTTGAATAAGGGACGAGCCCAGTAATTTCGGTACATTCGGCTTCACCCGGTCTCCGCCTCCACCATATTCGGATCGCTTGCCGTGAGCGTCATGGACTTCCTTGCCGAAGTTCGGTCTTCGAAACCGGCCATCATCAACGTACCTTTTTGGCACCCCGATATGGTAGCGTGCCAAACCAGGTGATTGAAAATGGGATGAGTGATGCCAGACTTGCCGATCGCATCATTAGTTGACATAATGACACAAGTCTCGCGAGCAGTCTGTAATTGATTCTGGAGATGATCTAATTCATTTCGTCTTCCATATCTCTGCTCTGTTACACCTAACCATGTAAGCCATCAGAAGTAATATTCTGCTCGCTAATATCAGTAACAGGCGTTCAGACTCAAACACGTTCTTACCTTTGAGACAATTTTGAGCTATTGGAGGTGTTCATTCTCGGCAGAAAGAAATCAGCTGACCCATGTGCTGCCGGCTGCGCGGGGCTTCCGTGTAGAGCGGGACAGGTCCGAAGCAACACACGGAGACCCTTCCGTCAATTTCACCGGAAGTCGCCGACTTCCTTTCGATCTACAAACGGCCCCCGATAACCTTCAGTTGCGACAAGTGAGGAAACCACATCCAACAAGTTCACTGCATGAACGTTTTCGTCAGTACCGACAGACGGATGTCGGGTAAGCTGCCTGAGATACATTCTTCGGGAGGTT